TATATTTATATATATATATTATATATATGTATATATCGGTATTATTTAATTAAATTATACATTATTAGCATAGGTCTATTACTAATTTTATTCAGATTATTATTAGTAGTATTTGTATGTAGCAGTAGCAACCTATCATTATCATCTGGTTGAAATATTGCAATGGTATTTAATTAAGTCCCCCATTGTCATTTTTCCGGTTCAAGGTAATCCATCCTCCAATAGGATCAGATACTAGGCCTATAACTTAATCCTAAGGAAATTCCCTATATGTTTTGGGAATACTGCGCTTGCGCAGATATACTCATGCTGTGGTAGTGGATTTTTTTTTTTAGTAAAATGGAAAGTTTTAATTAAATTTTTCTGTAAAATGGAATGTGTTAAGGTTCATTTCTATTCATTTCATTTGACAGGTAGGCCTATGCCAAGCACAGTATGAATGTAGTTTTATTAGGTAGTTGGTAAACAAATGGCCAATAGCTGAAAGCACCTTGTCCGATAATGATAATGATGTTCAGAGTAAGTTTGACCCTTTGAAATTGGAGCATTTGTCAACAAGTATACAGTACCTGACAAACGCAAGTTTCTGCAGTATATATACTCATGCACCCTACCGGGACCTATTTCTATGGTCCATCGTTTAAATTGGTGTCTTTGGAGGACTTTGGCGGCCCACGGAGATTAACTGGGGGCAACTGGCGAAGGATTCATGGAACTTCCCGTTGAATTTTTTCTTCTCTCGACTTTCCCCTGTAATTACTACAAACGTAATTTCGCAATTCTGTTCACGGTCTGTCCATTACAAAGGCAATCAGGTAGTACAAATTTTCTTAATCCAACAAACATATTTTGTGAATACTCAATGTAGGCCTAATTTTATACCTATCATTCTATGTTCAGTTTTGAATACCATTGGTAAATGTATAATATGCAGGGCCTTTTTTCAGTTTGTCGAAATCAAAATTTAAAAAGTTTAACGAATGATGAAAATAAAACAATTATAGTTATTAACTTTGTATTTATTTTATATTTCATTTGTATATTAGGCCTAATTGAAATGTTAGAATTCTGTGGTTATGTTTCGCACTTTAAATGAAAATGAACATACACATTATAATTTGACGTTTCTAAGCTGTGGGCCTACATCATTATTATCATCATCATCTTTCTCCTCTTCGTCCTCCTCATCAATATGTCGGTGTATTTTAATTTAAACAGAAGCATTTTAAAAAACAGCCTGTTATACATTTTGTCTGAAATTGTATGCTGTATAAATATGTTCGAAATAAAAAAAAAATAAAATAGCCTTATCATTAACATCATCATCATTATTATTAAAATATTATTTATCTTATTATAATCTTAAAAATATGTGAATAGTACGCCTACACTTATTTGCTCTCGAATCATTCCAAAATGTATAAAAGCCTTTGAAATATCGATAGATGTCCAATATTCAGCGATGTTTTATCTTTACGGCAGTGGAACGCCTATGGCTCTCGGTGGGGTGGGGTGTCAATTTTGAAAAAAAAATGACACCTCTAGAATCTCGAAAACAGCTACCCCTCCTTTCACCAAATAAAAGGCAGATACTGTACAAGATTTAAAGTCAGGAGATCATATAGTCACCCCAGATACTTAGCCCCGCCGTGGTTGTTGTTGAGGTGAGTAGATTTTGAAAACATAGCACCCTTGATGCCCGAAAATAACAATTTGCAGAGCCGCTATACCCCTATTCACCACTTTAAGGATCAAGGATGGCGCCAGGATTTGCCAGGGGTGGGAAGTTGGGGGTGGGACTGACGGGTGAGGCGATGTCCCCGTCAGGTGTCGCTCAAAATGTTTCGAAAGTGGCCCAGGGGCGAAGTCTACCAATAGGTAGAATATATATTTTTCTCCCCGACAAATTATGGTTTTTTTTCCCGACGGGGGGGGGGGTGGAACTCTCCTAGACGGGGATCTTCCCCCTTGCCCCTCCCTCTGGCGCCATACCTGACTAGGATTTAAAGTGAATAGAGTATACCACACCCACCTGCACCACCATGGTTGGGGCTGAGGTGGACAAATTTTGAAGAAAAACAAAAATGCTCCTCTGGAAGGCCCGAAAATAGCACATGTATACTTTAAACTTACTTGTACTTCACTTCAGGCCCTCTAAATATTTTCAAAAATAATCTTAATTATTAAGACTTCCAAAAAAAGTTTTCAATTAAGAAAAATTGGTCCGGTTAAAACCATTGTAGCCGGAGCGGTCCCGACTGCCTTGAATAACATCTGGACATTGTGAATTTCTTTGCGATTCAATATTAGCGTTCAGAAAAAAACAGTCAAGCCTATGTAGGCCTATTTTATAACGTTACCTATTTCATAAAGTAGACCTCGATAGATAGATAAATATAACTTGATGTTAAATTATCATAATATAACCGTCAAATAGACGACTGTCATTGTTATTAAAGAGGGAGGGGCCCGGTTAATGACACATCGAATGATGTCAGGTGCGGCTCTCTCGGCATGGATCCGACCTACTGTATGTGTAATACAGTACTTCAGGTTGTCCAAAATTACAAAACAAGCCCCAAAAAAGAAAAGCAATTGATTTCGAATCAAGCAAAAATATCTTTTGTAAAGGTAAATATTGAAATTAAATATGTTAATGATATGTTAATGAAACTGTACATTGCATGAAAAGGTTCTTTATTTACATTCAGCTAGGCAGAGAGTCTATCGGCAATGTAGCATGTATTTAGGACTATCGCATTTAACCATGGTCTGGAAAGACGCCAGCTTGTGACGCATCGTGTTGAGGAGTTTCTTCAACACCGTGTCTAAGTGGTGACTAACTGTGTTCCATGGCTATGACGTCAGTGTATCATTTATATTGTTGTTCTCTCATGACCGAGAGAGCAACTTCAACAACAAATAATGACAAACGGCAGATTTATATAATATATAATTATTGTTCAAGTGATTATGATTACGAGATTGAGTTTTTATAAAGCCACTCAGAAGTGAAGTGGGCGTGTAACATGTAATGAGGTCGAATTGAAAGACTTATGACCTAGGCCAAGTCCAAGAGATTATTCAACTATTCGTATTGGCTGACATCAAGGTTTTTATTTAATATAGTTTGATATTTGTTAATAAATATGGATTATCTTATTTTATTCTTTAAAAATAGCTGGAACTCGACTATAATTATGGCGCTAAGTGATTAAGGTGACAGCATGTAAAACTTCGATCAAATTCACTTTCTAAATATAAGTTTATAGTTAAAACTAAAAAGAGATACAATAATAGGCATATATTGGCTATATTAAGAAAATCTTAAGAAAATACAATTGATTGAGTAATCGTTATGAAATTAGAAGTTAATATAAACTTCAGAATTAAGAAAATGTATTAATCCCTCTTTGTTAGTGACACAATACATTTTTAAACATTCATATTTCAAAATTCAGTAATAACTTTACCATTACAATTCTAAAACTTCAATTCATCAATAAGTTAATGATACCTTACAGTCACATCAGTATACATTCTTGTACAGTAGAACCCCTCTAAAGGGGACACCTTCGGGACCAAAAACAATTGTCCCCTTAATAAGAGTGTGCCCCGTATACGGCTACCCCTATTAAGGGGACACTAACCAAAAGCGTGAAATTGTCCTTAATAGGCGTTTTTTGGCATGTTTTCGTACAATGGTGACATATTCTATATAATTAATTTTTTTATATAATTTGCAATGCAAAAAATAAATCATTTATGATAGGAAATCAACTATGTAATTTAAACTACAAAAGTTGTATAGGCCTATCCCGATAGTATTTATTTCTTGATCCGAGTGTTATACTAATGGTCAAATATTCTTTTTTTCAAATATTGAGCTTTCTATTTGATGTATAAGAGAGAACAACATAAATAGAGTAACGTCTTAAGTAGAAGCCAGGGAGCAAGTTACTGTACGGTATACATTAGTCTGTAGTACCGGTATGTGAAAATACACAAAACAAAAAATCCCCATAGTTAATGGTGAAAATTGACAAGATTGTATTTATACGAAGTACGCATTCTAAAGTTCGAGAAGGAAAATTATGCTTTGGTGTTAATTTATTGCTCAAAAAATTTGAAAGATTTTTTTTTAAATTATTTTGAGACTACTGTATAAGTTGTTTTGATACAATAAAAAAAAGTGTCCCCTTAAAAGGGGATAAATTGTATTGATTTGACCATTTTGCACACTTAGAAAATGTCCTCGTCCCCTCAATAAGTGTTGGCTGTAATGTTAACAGATATACTGCCCCTCGTTTCAAGGAAAAGTGTCCGGGTTAATAGGGGGTCCCCTGAATAGGGGTGTCCCAAAGGAGGGGTTCTACTGTATTTAAATAGGCCTACGTAAACTCTACTGTTGTTTCTACACTTTAAAATCCTTATGAAACAGTTTTGCCCACCTGAACTTACAGTGTTAAAAAAGTTAATTATAAATTGTGTACTTTTAATATTATTTATGTTCATCTTATTCTATAAAATGAAAAAAAAAACAACGCTAAATACTATATGACCCGTCACATTCAACGCTTTATTTTATTTTTCAATGTATAATGGTAGGCTACCTTAGGTTTATTTTGTATGTATAAAGCGTTTACATTCTCATTACCGTACTGTATTTCATAATTATCATCATCAGTGTCATCGTACAGGTATGTAGGCCTGCTACAAACTTTCTGCCTATTTCTCTTTTCTTGTAAAGTATATAACTATAAATATAACTCTGTTTTGAGCACCAGTACTGGTATCATTTATTTGAAATACAAAAATATAATTTAACCTTTATATTGCATAGTTATAAAAAAGAAGTGGAGTATGAGTTAACTAATAACTATTTTTTTGCTCTCAAACTATATATTATTGTGATACCGTCAATAAATTACCTTGTGGAAAAGAATTTTGGTCTGGTCTAGACAATTCTGAGAGATCATTTTTTAAATTTGTTAGTGTAAAATATCGTATCGTTCTCTAAAAACGGGTAAACAAAGAATGATAACATCTATACAAACATCTAAATGTTCCTATGTCAATGAAATAATAACTTCTTTAAAAAGGTTATCTGTAATAGCTTTAGACAACAACAATTTTTCCCCCTAATTCTGTCAGTTGTATTGTTATCGGAATGCGCATGATTACATATGTGTTTCGTCTTCCGAGTCGGAGTCGAAAGAATCCGAATCAAAATCGTCATAAATTTGACGACGAACATGATGAACAGGCTCATTCGAATAAATTAATTCATCTGTTTGCACTCTATCAATATTTTGATTTTCTTCTTCCAGAGTTGCGTTAAATGGAAGTTCGAAACAACCACTCTGCCTTGCATTACATACGTCTGGCAGAGGCTCAAAAGAAGAAAGTCTTTTTATTTCAGGCCGCGGCGCAACTGTAGGCTTCGTCGGAAGGGTCGATATATCAAGTCGGGAGCTGGTCGGTGAATCTGGACAATATCCAAAATTTGGGAAGCCTACAGGCTGAATAACTTCTTTATTTTCGTGGTTAAAATTCATGTACTCACTTGTCGGTCTTGACACGCTTTTCACTTGTTTATCACTTTCTGCTGAATTTTCATATACTGACTCTCGTGAGGCTTTTGTCGCCTTCTTTGCTGCTTTCTTTCCATTTCTTACCTTGACCGGTAATGCATAGATGGCTTCAGCACCACGAAAGGCATCGATATGATGAATTTGCACCGACGGTCTTGTGCCATACCTTTCACCGGTGACGGCTTGTTGACTGAAGCTTATTGAACCCTTTAGCGACAATTCCCTCCGTCGTCCATACCAGAACTTCAGGTAGCATAATAATATGATTACTATCAATACGATAACTCCAAGCAGGCTAATTACAATCACAGTAACCACTGTTATAGTATCATTGTGCATTGTAACGAAGCTTTTGTAGCCTCTGTCAGACACAAGCAAGGCCACACCATCTGATGTGACGCTATGACCAGATGGTATGTACACAGTACACGTGATATTGTAGATGGCTGTATTTTCCCCATTATTGATTGCCACGAGTTCTAGTACTTCACTATTTATGACATTTATCTCGAATGTTTCATTAAATGTGTCAAGTTCCATGCCATCTATCAACCATTCATAGCTGGAGACATATGGTTCTGCCTCAGCTTGGCAGGTGAAATTAACTGCGAGCCCCCCTGAAACCTCTGTACTTTCTTCAGTGATTTTAACGACAGGCTGAATAGCAAGAGGAATGAGGTTGCAAGTTCTCGCAATATCATCATTGTCTGACACAGCTGCACAAGTGAAAACACGAAAGTTATCAGTCGGTTGCAAGATCAATGTGTAAGTGACTTTGTTAATTTCTGCGATTGTAAGCTGAATTCCAAGGTCGTTAGACCATGTGACGGTGGTTCTCTCCCTTTGATCTTCAACCATACACTGCATGGAGACCATTGTGCCAGGTGGCAGTGCATGATCAGGACTTTGCTGGCAAACTAGCGCTGACAGTAACATAAGTTCAGCATAATTTGACGAAAAAGATGTCGAGTCAGCCGACGAATAGGAACAAAAATACGTTCCGCTATCGCTGTCTTTAACATTAGTAATCTGCAGTGAGTACTGACCTCTGTTGTAGGCATCTTTTCCACCAACGATAGAATAACGAGTTTGAATATCCTCAGAGGCTGAAATGCTAGCTTGAAGACCTATCATGATGTATGCTCCTGTTTCAACTTTGAACCATTTCATCTCACCGTCCCCAAGATGATTTACAGCACATTCCAACACTATTACAGATCCTGCAGTCGTATTTGTATCCGAAGGTGTTTTAATAAACGTCACCAGAGACACAGATGAGGAAACTGTATATTTTACTGAAGTCAGAGTTGGTAGGGAAGTTGTAGTATGTATAACGGCCGGTAAAGAAGGCATTGCAGGTAAAGTTGCTACGGTAACCATTGGTTCAACCATAATCGTTGTTGGCGTGGAATCCCCGATATATCCTTTCGGATCATAAACGCGACAATTTATATTGTAATACCGTGTTACATCTTCAGCTGTTTTAATAGTAATAGCAAAGTTACTTCTGTCTGTGCTGAACATATACTCAAAAACATCCAAATAATTGATAACAGATTCTTCATTTATAAGCCAATCAATACTCGCTATATGTGGGAAAGCAATCGAAAAACAAGTGAAATTCATCATGCTGCCTTTATTCATTACAACTGTGCCAGATGGAGAGATCCGTGCTGACGGAGGTATAGCTAAAGGTACTATAGAACAGGTACGAACAATATCCGGGTGCCCGGTGATAACTGCCTCACAAATATATGTTTCGTAATTATCATTCCCTGAAAGAGTCTTTCGAAAGGTTGCATCCATCGATAGAAGAACGCCATTTAGTGTCCACTGTGTATATGAATCAATATCACTGTTTACAACTAGGTCATCTGTTGTACAGGTTAATTCTACTACTTCGTTGATCCCAACTGGCATTGGGTTTTGGGAACAGTTCGGTTGATGAAGCACAGTTACGATGGCTGCCCTTGTACCAATGGGATTAGTCCCTACTGCTGTGTATATACACCTGTATGCACCAGCATCACTTTCTTGCAAACGGGAAATTACTAGATTGTACTGTCCCCGGTTATATGCCGCACTATCACCCTCAATGTGCGCGCGTTGTACCCAAGGAGGAAAAGTCGTTATGCCCTGGGTTACATATCCATCACCATCCTTGTACCATTGCAAGAGATCTCCTGGTGAAATACTATTCACAGAGCATTGCAAGGTAACATTTCCGTCTACGACAGAAACGGCGTCAGATGGAGAACTTGTGAATGCAGATTGTGACAGTAAGCAGCGAAATGCTGAAAGCAGTAGCGTGAGAATTATTAGCACTTGCATAGTATCCGTACAGTATGGTAGTCCGCAGTGGCAGTAGATCAAGTATATTTTTGTTTATGCGCCGATGTCGCCAATCTGCAATAAATGAAAAGAAAAACGTTATAAATAGCCGTATAGGCCTATATCGACTCATTCTACAAAAGTATAGTAGACAGATGTAACACAATTGCAGAACCAACAAGCACAAAGCAAGATTGACAAGCAGCTTTTATTGGGACCAAATTATGCAGTGCAGAGCATAGAAGTGATTCCAACTTTTTCCATGAGCTTTAGAATTTTGAACTTTATCTTATACATAATGTTTAGTTTCGAATTCCGTTTGATCAACCCGAAATTGATGAAAATACCCAAAAATGACCTGTCTTGTCATTGAAAACGATGTACAAAACCAAGGAATCCCTGTTGTGCTATATATGGGTGCTAGCTTGAAACAATCATTATTGAGTCGATCAAGTAATATTTTTGGAAGAGTCATTCTTGCAGGCGAGACTAAAGGCCTAATTGAAAGGTTTCTTCAGAAAGACGGTGTGCTATTGAAACTTAAATTTCAGTCTTTCGACTGGGTATAGCAGACAATATTGAATTGAACCAGTGACGAAGTTGCATAAGATCTGGGTTTAGTATTTAATGAGGCGACTACCACCAATTTAGTCGACTGAGCTTACCTCGTTTTGTCACAATCGGGATTTGGACCCAGGAACTTCCGAACGTTTTGATACTCTACTGAGCCAAACGTCAGAATCATGTGTAATTTTTTCTCAAGGAAAATAACTCTAATTCTGGGGCGGATGTAGGAGGATGCGGGATCCCACCCCCTAATAAAAATAATTGTTGTATTGTATTTTTAATATGAATTACTGGTAAGATTGTTTTATGTATAAAAGTGTACTTTCCGGGCACCTGCAAGTCCTTATTCTCAAAATGTTTAAAACTCAGCTCCAACCATGAGGTGGTGTGGACTCTTACGTACCCTCTACTGCCAAATCCTGCATCCGCCCCGTAATTAATATGTTCCGCCTTTTCAAAAAACACAATTGCTCAACATTGTATTTTTCACACTATGTACCATAGTTAGACCATGGAGGTATCAATAACACCTCTATGGTTAGACCTATTTAATGTTTATCTATATAAGAATACATATTTTCAGTTTTGTTTTTAGTAAGGGAGAAATAGGAAATAATCCGATTATATATGTGTTTAAGTTTCTCTCACTTAACAGGTACCATCTGTTGGTTAAGCAAAGTATGTGTACAAACAAAATATATCGGTAGTGAACATTTCATTTTGCTACATATCTGAGCAATAAAATTCAGACTGGGAAAATATTTATTTCCTGTAATAATCTTAGCTTGACAAAGGTATATGAAAAAAACTCAAACAATCAAAATCTCAGCTTAACAAAGAAGAATTTTATACTCAACCAGACCCATGACAATGAAAATCTCGGCTTGTGTCGAAGTATTTGAAACATGTATTGACAATGATAGTACTTCTAGTACTTCTTTGTTATTTTCGCCCAATCGGAGAAATTTACAAACAATGTTTTCATTCTTTCTAACACAAAGTGGGCTTTGATATAGTAAGAAGATTATGGCTATAGATTTCCGTATTCCGGGTGTTAATCAAGATATATCCGATCTTAAGATCGAAATGAACCACATTGAATCTAAATCAACCAATCTTTTCTATTCAGATGCGTTGTTTCCATAGGCAACCACTGGTACAATAACGGAGTATTCCAGTTGTACATGGTCGTCAACTTATAATTCATGTTCCCCCATGGTCGTACTAATCTTAATCTTACTCTGTGCTATGAACTAACTCACGTACTGTATAGGTCTATACCCAATTACATTCGGGTGGATTGTGAAGCAACTTAGGCGTAGGTAAATTGCGCTCATCAGACACTTAAACGACCAGCCGCGACTTTTCAGTTGGAAGTCCGAAACCTTACTGCCAACTACCACTCAATATTATAACATCGATTTACGACTACTTTTTGAATAGCCCATTAGTTTGTCTCAAATAGGCATATAAATCGAATGTTAAGAAACCGGAAGTAGGGGGGGGGGGGCAGCTGACTTGAAAAAGTGATTTGTTTGCTTAAACTGCCCCCGACCTTGTTGATCTAATAAATAAACTGAAACTGAAGTTATTCAAACCCAAATCTTTTGTTCAAAATATTGTTGCAATTGGAACACCCATTTTGCTAAAAATATATACTGTATAGGTCTGTACATTACATTTGTACATATTTTAAAGTATATCATTGCTGAATAAAGAATTTCATTATTAAGTGTAAGTATACCGTACTCTCTACAAGAAGGAATCTCTTTTGTTCAGACTTAACCATATTGTGGTTATCACCTCCGAACTATACCCAGGGTGACATCTAGATGTGTATAAGAGACAGGTACTGACCTCTGTTGTAGGCATCTTTTCCACCAACGATAGAATAACGAGTTTGAATATCCTCAGAGGCTGAAATGCTAGCTTGAAGACCTATCATGATGTATGCTCCTGTTTCAACTTTGAACCATTTCATCTCACCGTCCCCAAGATGATTTACAGCACATTCCAACACTATTACAGATCCTGCAGTCGTATTTGTATCCGAAGGTTTTTTAATTCTGTCTCTTATACACATCTAGATGTGTATAAGAGACAGATATTAGATAGAGAACTTAAAATTAATTATAGGCCTATGTTTATAGTGGTTATTAAGATGCTTCTTAAGTAAACAACATAATCAGTGGAACAATTAGTCATTCAATGCATTAGTAGAGCCTATAGAAATGCAACTAAGATCACAACCACAGATACTCAACACTTCGGCCTTGTCATACGAAATTGTTTGTGGTATATGACATTACCACAGCAGGCCTACGTGAACACACCTTAATCTTCCACCCAGACATTACGGTATCTAAAATATATTTTATATTAGAAGTGCCAATACAGACTAGTATTATTCGCTTCCAAATAACACAATAATATAGTATCTGACCAAAATATAATGCCTTTTTTTTCTTTGCAGATCTCGCACTATGAATTAGTAGTAGGAATTTTGTTCTATACTTACTTAAATGAGGAATCCAATAAAGTCATGGTCCATTCTTCAAGCCACATTTCATATTCCTGTTCCTTAGTTATAAAAATGTATTAAATATGGCCTACCACTTATCCATTCGACATAATCGCCAATCGTTCATAAATAGTTACGAACGCGTGTAGTCCTACTTATTTCAATCGCCGATAAGTGGACTCCACACAAAATGTCCACGTTTGCAAGATTTGGACACACTGAATCTCCGCAATTATTTTCAGTTCGAGCGAGTTTAAGTACCGGTACGTACGGGGGTTGAGTAGACCTAATCATTTCAGTAAACCGATGACGTAGATCTTAAAGCTCAATCGCTTGAATACTTTTCAATAGTTTGAGGTTACTCAATTCTATGAGGTCTAAAGAATCGGCTTTGTTTACCGAATGAACAAGTTGGCAAAAAAAGGACATAGCTAACATGTGACAATGGCTCTGTTGTACCATGTAGTACTTGGTGAACTTCCTTCTGCGGCGCAATAAGGTGAAAGAGACTGCTTTGTTGAAGAATTCATGGACAATAAGGCCTACCGACTTAACATTATACTATATGTTATTCAACCTAAGTAGCTAAAGCTATAGTAACGGCTAATGAAGAGTTTGTCTCATATTTTATTACTTGTCAATTACTTTGTGCTTTTCCGTCCCATGTTTGAGATTTCTGACGGTTATTGACTGATTCTTTGAAAACAGTTGACATTTACACTGCTTATGGCTTCATCATACAGAGAAATCAAATGTGCTTTACAACTAATCTCATCTCAACACCATTAAATCACAAACATATACGAATAATATGTTTTTGTACCAATGCATGTTTACTCCGGGAAAGGAGTGACCACACACTACAAACAACACTACTAACAGTATAGGGAGCTTTCGATTTGTGCTAGAACGGAATTACTCATGCGTGACCGTCCCACCTGGCGTCCTACGTTCTCTGCATACGTAGATTTGGCCAAATTGCGTTCCAAATCTACTCGACGAGGTTACCTTAACGTTCTCGCATGCGCAGATGACTTTTACTGACGGGCTGCTAGGTAAAAATAATAAATTCAAAAATTAAATAAACACAATAAATTATTAAACTTATAAATTCATACTTGTCACGGGAAATAAAAATACTTCTATTTCCTCCATGATGTACTAACTAGGAATATCTTAGTTTGTCAAATAAAACTGAATTAATATAGTACACTTTGATTTGTTTATGAATATTTTCAGCTCTATGTTTGAATAAAAGGAAAGATAGCTTTTACTTTTTATGTTTTTATACTTTATTTTTCATGACCTAGTAAAATTAATTACTTTATAATCGATTAAATTATTCCTCTAATCGTTTTAAAGGCTATAGCTTCCGGAGGCTGTGTATTTGTAAAGCACATATTACGGAAAATTTCTATACGCTTGAAACGCAAAGTCTTGAAATACGAAATACAAAGAACTTTTTTTGCAATCTCTCATTAATATTATAAGTAAGTGGGAGAAAACATTTAAACATCACATATAAGATACATACAAATGTAAAAATAAGATTATTTTTTATTTATTCTTTAACCTGGGTGGCCTGTGCAGTGTTGAACACTGCTCTCCCACAAGTCCCAGGATCAACAATAAAACTCTTAACTACCAACTGTTAAAAATTTAAATAGCCTATACAAATATAAAATATATATATAAAATATATATTAATAGATCCAATATAAATGAATAGATCCAATCAAAAACATTTAATAAAAAATGGTTGAGAAAAAGGGGTTAAGATAGAATTAAATTAATAGTATTGGATTTAATTTAGGAAAATGTAGTTATGATTTCTACAATAAAAATATGTAATTTGCTAATTAATTTTAAATTTATATGACATTTTATTTATAATTAAATTAAAAAAAATATTGCAAAAGGGGGAAACAATAAAATCAATAAAACAATTTGAACCGACACCCAAAACGACTCACGAAAATTTGTAAGAGTTACACATCTGATAAAATCCCGTCAGAGAGGATTGCCCGTGTACAGGGACGATTTACCAGTGTCCGATACTGAATAAACCAGCACTTGTTGAATGAAGAAAAATTGAAAAAAATATAATAAAACTAACAAAAGGAAACAACCGAAGAGAGAAAGAGAGTGCAGCAGAAGGAATCAGTGCCATTCTGTTCTCCAGCACTTTGAGGCCATAATTATAAGGGCTCACTGGAACATGATTCACAAAAGCTCTGTGACACTGGCATCTGAAGGCGGGCCACTGTCACTGTCTTACTTAGGCCGAAAATGTTTCCATTTTCGTCTTCTTGGTGATGATACTGACGTAATAGGAAGACAATACATTAGAATCTGAAAAATCAGAAAAGTCGGGAAAGCAGATAACAGTTAACATATCTCAATTTGCTGATTGTGATTGACCATTAATAATGATAGCCAATTGATTAAGGAATTGCTAATTTAATATTATCATAAAGATTATAAAGCTCTAATATATTATCAACAATGAGACACTGACCGAAATAATTCAGGTTTCATTGAAACATATCACTAACTGGTTTTAGCCACCGTGGTATTATAAATCTCGAGGATGGTTCTTCCAGGAGTGAGACTCTCATAAAATACACCATAATAACAATTTTAGATATAAAAAATACAATCCATAAATTTAAGAAAAATAATAATTGGCCTATGTGCTATGAAAAAATATATAAAAAGAAATATCAGGATTGCTTTGATTATTTATGTCTCTTAAAGATGTTCAGTAATGTCAAAAACTATAATACATATCCCAAGTTTTGAAATGCACGCTATCGTGTTAGAGTTCGAAATGCATTAGTAGGCCTAGTCTTCTTTCACTCTCAAAATGTTCCATTGGCAATGTTATTTCAATACTTGAAGTATGTATTATCTTTTCTGAGATTAATCAGTGGACCTTTTGGATTTGCAGTAATGTAGTTAAATTTATATAGCGCGCTTTATACCGATATGACCCCAAAGCCCCTGAGGTGCAGACTAGCTCTTACAGTAACTTACTTCATGCTTCAACCAAAAAAAATAAATGTTTGTTTCCTATATACTCGGATATGAACTCTTCTGAGGGAAAATAAATTAAGTAAATCACATTTATGTTTGTGAAATAAAGATGCTAACTATTTTTTGTGTGCTTTCTATCTCCCTAGTACTGTTTGGTCATAAATTAGACGGTAGGCCTATTATTTCCACTCACAATAGTGTAGTCGCAATACTATTTGCTCAAAAGTGAAATTAAAAAATAGGAGAAAAGGAAAAACCTCTTGATTAAGTTTTAAAATACTGTACATGCAAAGAAACCAATTAGACTGTTTTAAATTTATTTTTTCATGGCTCGAATACGTCACAAGCTAATCAGTAGATAATAAATCATTATTTTTATGAATGTTAGTTTGCAGGAAATATATAATGATTACCAGGAAAATTAAAAAAAACTTTTTTATGATGAGTATTTCAGTGGCAAGTTCAAGGGACCCAGCTGGCCCACCCAACACCTATTTTTTCATTTTTTTTTTAATGTGGAGAAAAAGAAAATTATATTCAAATTTAAGTATGAGAGTGCTATTTCCAGTCAGAATAGGTGCCATAATCATAAATTTTCTTACCTCATCCTCAATTCAACCTGCACCCCCCCCCCCTCAGCCAAGGCTTGGTCCCTTATAGGCGTTCTTATTTTGCAATTCGCACCCCACCCCGCCCACTCTCAACCACGGATCGACGCCCTTGCGTGACTGACGATGGGCTACTACAACCAGCGACTGTGCCAGAAATTTGCCAACAAGGGATCCGACATGCCCGACGGAGGGCCGAACCAAGGGGCCGACTAGAGCCTCGGTCGACGGCCGGGAAGATTTTTTATTTCTTAGTAGGGTCCAAATTGTGCTTTTAGACCAAAATATTAGAGATTAACAATCAAAATAACGTCGACTTAGTCGAGGCGTCGGAAGACGACAGGGGGTGCAGACCTGTCCGACGAGGGTTAATGCTCCCTTCCCCGCTGGCGCCACCACTGACCATAACACCACAATCGGAATGTGAAAAACAGTGTCATGTAGAGGTAGCAGGTCAAACCGGCAATAAACCAAAACGGAATGGCCAAAACGTCAATAACCAAAACGGCAATGATAACCAAAACGGCCATGATAACCAAAACGGCCATGGACGTCAATCGGTGGGGGACAGGAGGACACGCCCCCTCACTTTTCAAAGTAGGGGGATATCACATAAATTGTCCTCCCACTTTTCAAAGCGAGTGGAAAGAACAGCATTTCCGAATGATTGTCATGAATTTTGTCTATTCACTTGTGCTCAGTTCCAAGTGCGGTGCGTCCGGACCAATACGGTACTGAGAAAACGCAATTGTACATTTCGTAACCATCTTAGTAATACTCTATCGATGTCATGGATGCAACGGTTATCAGAGGCTAAATTTATTATGAAAACAACATGTACAGTAGGCCTACGTTGTTTTAAAAATTGGAAGCGTGTAAATCTATTAGGCCAACATTTTTACAAACTCAAAAGTACACCATCTCTACTATAAACGATTTGTTCCTTTTGTATATTATTAAGACCCGTCTGTGTTCAATATCTGCATACATATAGGCCTATTTCTGTTTTTCCTAATTTCAAAAAATTGTAGTTAGTCAATTGATTTTTTATTTAGCCGTTTTTAAACAATAATTATACAGTCTTTGACACGGATACCACAAGTTTACAAACTGAGATGTTACTTCGACGCAATCTCGTCCTGACTTCATGATAATGATAAATTAAGTAAATCATGTTTGTGAAATAAAAATACTAAATAATGTTGTGTGTGCTTCCTATCTCCTTATTCCTGTTTGATCGTTAGTTAGATAATAGTATTTCCACTCACAATAGTGTAGTCACAATACTACTCGCACAAAAATTGAAATTCAAAAAGAGCAGAAAAGGAAAAACCTCTTATTGATTTTAAGTAGGCATACATTCAAAAAGACTATATAATTAATTGGAGAGACTGCTTTAGGTTTATCCATGAAGAAACATGGCTTATCATTTGTTTTTCATGGTTCGAAGCACAAGCTAATCATAGATAATAAATCATTAACTTTTTATGAATGTTAGTTTGCATGAAATATATAAGCAGGCATGATTATGATTACCAGTATAACTTGGAAAAAAAAAGGGGGCCCCAGCCGGCCCACGCTCCCTTTTTTTTTCAAAATGATTTTATATAGCAGTTTTATTCAAGCCTCGTCCCTGACGAGGCTTGAGCCTACGGCCACGAAGACTTCCTTTTTCTTTGCAATCCCCCCCCACCTCCACCCCCACTTTCCACAACGGATCGACGCCCTTGAAAACGGCAATAATATGACAATCAAAACGGCAATAGGCACATAGACCAAAATCAAGAGCAAGTTTTTGCTTTTTATCTTTTACACATCTATGACGAATTGTTGAGATGCCTTATTTTGTCTGTATTTTAAAGTTTTATTTATTTGAATGTTTAATGCTTTTATAATGTGTTTCCCTAAACATTATTGAATTAATTGTTTGTTGTTTTATTATTATTATTATTATTATTATTATTATTATTATTATTATTATTATTATTATTATTATTATTATTATTATTATTATTATTAATTATTATTATTATTATTTTTATTATTATTATTATTAATTATTATTATTTATTATTATTTATTATTATTATTATTATTATTATTATTATTATGTTTTTTCGCGTTTTTTTTAAACTTCTATAACATAAATGGTTTTAGCCTCATGTTTTCTTTTGGTTTTGTGTTTTGTACATTTTCATGGTTCTAATTGGATTTTATATGATTACATTGGAAATAAGTTTTACTTCTTATTGCCGTTTTGACTTATTGCCGTTTTGGTCCATTGCCTTTTTTTTTATTGCCGTTTTGACTAGTAAGCCATGTAGAACGTCCCAGGCATTTGCGAAGGCGGCAGCGAATAAAAAGCTAGGAAACGCGACCCACTACAAGTGGTTTAAGAGCGTCTTGTCAAGGCTCATAATTTTTTTTTATCTAATTATAATGTAATCCCCTATAAAATAGGCCTATATCTACTTCTAGAAGTTGCTTTTACATACATGTCTATAGGCCCTGTAATGTATCTGGGTCAGATTCACGGTTTGGGGTAGACTATTACAAAGTCCTTAATGATATACCAGCCAATTTAATTAAGGATTTTTGTAGTAAAATGTCTGTAAATCAATGAAAATAATTTTGCTGGTTAATAATAATAATAATAATAATATTTTATTTTTATTTTTTAATGATTTGGCCCGATTCAAGTTTCTTTCCTTTTTTTAAATTCTTTTATTTATTTATTTTTAAAAATTTTTGAGGTCGGATTTCTTGTATTTCAACTGATAAAATGTTTAAATTGTGAAGAAAAGATGTGTTGTTTTTAAAATGTTGCTATTCTAAGCTAACAACTATTTAATATGCAAAGCAATTTAATTTAAGTCGTATACTGTATTCAAGTTTTGTTATTTTAGGCCTATTTAAAACAAAATCATGAAGAAGAGTCGGTAATGAGAAAAGCTGGTGTCTAAAGTCTACGAGCCAACAAGCCACCGTTTGGGGGAGCTAATAATACAATGTTTTGATTGTGGCCTTTTTCACGAATCGGTAGACATAATGAAGTGATGACAAACACTGCGAATCAGCGGTGCGTAACCAACAGAAATAAGATAAGCTTTTGGGCTGATTTTCTGACATCATGTTATTTAAAATATCATAACTCCATAACGGGGCGTCGTATCCAAAAATGTTTTCCAGCAAAATGTTTTTAAAAGACTAATCTATACCACTATATGATTGAAAAAAATTGAAAAAATGTTTTTGACCTCTTAAATCAAGATGTAAAAAGAAAAGCCTATCCTAGTAGTGTATTAAAATAGGCCTATGCATTACAGTGCAGTAGCATAGGACTTTCGTGTTGTTACTGTTAGTAAGCGATAATATACAGATTTCTCTTATTATAAAGTACAAGTTATGTTTTATAAAGAGGTATAGCATAGTAAATCATGTTTTTAACACAGGGAAACTCTCATATGGTAACTAAAACAATGCTACTAGTTGAGAGTATTACTAGTACTACTGCACTGTAATGCATATACCTATTTTAATACACTACTGAGATAGGCTTTTCTTTTTAAACCTTGATTTCAGAGGTCAAAAAAAATTTTCAATTTCAATTTCAAATTTCAATCATATAGAGGTGTAGAATAGTCTTTTAAGAACATTTTACTGGAAACATTTTTTGGATACGGCGCTCCGTTATGGAGTTATGATTTTTTAAATAACATGATGTCAGAAAATCAGCCCAAAAGCTTATCTTATTTCTGTTGGTTACGCACCGCTGATTCGCAATGTTTGTCATCACTTCATGATGTCTACCGATTCGTAGCAATGTCTCATGTTTTCGTTCTTATTTTTTATAAACAAATTCAGAATGGCCTTCCCGCAAGGGGAAATTGTGGAAGGGGAGGTTAACTGTGAGGAATTGGCATTAGACGTGTTTGGTAAGTAGGTTAGGTCCTAGACCTAGCTAGGCCTGGTACCTAGGCCCAGCCTGTCGTACGTAGGACTAGGCCTAGTAGTAGGCAAGACCTTCGTGATCGCGTCGTCGGTTATCGAGGCTAGAGGCCTAGGTATACTTCCCCCACAGGCTAGCTCCTAAACTACAGTACTTAGTTAGGCCTAGGCCTAGTTCACCCAGGGTGGGTAGCTAGTCGGTTTCTTGTTACAGGAGGGAACTTTTTTTTGTAGCACCTTAGCATAATATATGTACAATATTCCATAGTTTGTATTTTGGTTGAGAAAATATTTTAAATGACAATTTAGGCCTAGGTAGGCCTAGATAAGGCAAGGAGGTATAAAAATAAGGAAGGGTGGGTAGCCGATCATTTCGGTCGCGCTTCGTTTCGGTCGCGCCTCATTTCGGTCGCGGTTTATTTCGAACAAATATATGGAGCGCCGAAGGAGTTGCGAAAACGCAAAATTTAATATGCCTAGGTCCTATATAATTATAATTAGTTAGTCAATTGGTTTATCATAGGCCTAAGTATTTTTTTCCCCGTTTTGCTATCTTTCTACTAACATATTTTTTTTCTTCCATGGAGTTTTAATAGTATGTGCTTCATGCTATTCTTTTTGTTGCGTTTTCGTACTATAATTTAATATTATGGTCAATAAAATGTATCTTTGATTTTAATTGAATGAATTGAATGTTGTTACTATCTGAAATCTATTTCAAAATTTAGTTAAAACAATAATCATTACATTATTTAATCCGATGTTTCTATACAATAAATTTATTTATTTTTCTTGCAGCTTCCAGAGTTTGGATAAAACAAACCAAGTGAATTGAGGGAAACACAATTAAAGAAATAACCAAATAATACACATATTATCATTCTTCACTTGAAATCTTTAGTTTTCTTTGATGTCCCTGCACAGTTCATGATTTTATATAGCATAAATGATATACCTAGAAACAACTATATATATATATATATATATATACTGTC